CCTGGCTAACAAAGAATCCGGATTTTGTAACATTTTTCCAACTTTGTTTTGCCAATAAAGCAATGTTGAAATCCTTGAAATCCCTAATTCCCAACCCCCCCCCCCCCCTTGATCTTTACTATTAGTGATATGACCCCAAGAAAGCCAATTTATATTACCATTGTCCCAACATTCAAGTGTTAATTTATGGCTGTGAATCTCTTATATATTAGTTGAAGAATGATTTTTTGAAAAAAGTTTATGTGTCTTCACCAAAATCATTCTTTCAATTTTAATATGACATGACATTATTAAAAGTATGACATGACATTCTCTCTAATTTAGCCCATTAGTCTCTAATTAAAATTAGTCCAACCTAAGTATTAGCCCAATTTCAATAATAATTATTAGTCCTTAAACTCAATAAAAAAATCGGCCAAAATCATTTATTAGCCCACTTTCACAAACACAATTAAACCTAACCAATAGTCTTCACTATATATTTATAAGGGATCACGGCCAAAAAGAATTTGATATCAATTCAATCGGCCTCTTAAACTGATCTTAAAAATTGTTTTCACAGATGAGTATGATATTCACAATGAGACTAATCTTACTTATACACGGAAATTTCCATCAAAGATAAAAAAAAAAAAATTTGAGATCAAATGCCTTTCTTTATAATTTTTTGAATTGGTTATTGTAATAATAAAACTATATAACCTTTTTATAGAATATATATTCTTTTCGAAAATAATGATCAAGACTTAACAAATTTTTAAAAGAGATTTTGATATGTTTGAGAAAAAATTTCCCAAGTTTATAACAACAAATAATTATTCTTTTGAATTTTTTTTTAGCGCAAGACAATTTGAAAGTAGTAAGAATATTTTTTAGTTCGAAAGCAACAATTTTTTTAATCTATTTTTTCTTTATAAAATTTATGATTATATATTTTAATGTTTTAAAATATTAAATAATTTATTTGTACCTAAATTCCAATTAAGATATTTGGACAAGCCAAATTTAACATGCTTTTTTATACTCTAATACATGAAATTATTACACATTTTGATTTGACACGTTTACATATATAAAATATAGTTAAATGGTAAAACTAAATTTTGAAATTCATATTATTAATAAAAACGATATTATTGACCAAAAATATTAACAACAAAAGAATCAATAACAATGTCTATAATAAAAATCAAAACAACAACATATTTTACATTTATAAATACTAAAATACAAAAAAAACTACATAAATAATTTACCCGTGTGTACGCGGGAGAATCACTTAGTGTTAAATACACACACTAGAATAAACATCTGTTTGTTACCAATCAAGCAATGTTTTTAAAACCGGACCAGCGACCAAACCGAAAAACTTTCGGATCGTGGATTAATATGGTCTAAACGGGTTCAACCGGGTTTAATAGTTTTTTAAAAATATTAGTTTATATGTATATTTGGTCTTATATTTTTCTTCTATTTATATGTCCATATCTATCCAAATATCAAAAAAAATTTCAATTATTACAAACATTTGAAAAAACAAAAAAAATTCAATCACAAAATAAAATTAATTATAGATACTAACACAATTATAACAAATTTAAGCATTTTGGTCTAAATTTTTACATATTTTAAAAATGCTTTATGTGGAAAAAGTTTACTATTTCATTAGTTTTATCAAAATAATTTGGCTAACAACTTAT